GTTGGATTAAGGACTGTAAGGACTGGAATATTTCCCGATAATGCGCAATGTCTGTAATAGCTGCTGCAAGTCCCAGCCACGAGAGGAATGAGGTTAACCATACCAGCAGCCGAATGCGGGCCTTATATGCTGCCTCGCTTTCCTTAGAGGCAACCCCATCTTTGTCATGATACATGGCAGTCGCTTTGCGGCACAGCTAGGGCCGCGCTCATCTAGTTGGACGACTCGAGAAGGTAAAAGTCGGTAAGTTCACGATGGAGGGGTGGAGGAGGTGGTTTCTGGAGCGCTGGATGTCGAGTGCTTATCAGCTCAGGCTGTGTGGGAAGAGGATCGATGGTGCCATCAGGCTCTTACCCGGTTGGGCTAAATCGTAAGCATATTGCCTATTAATCACACCCAGTCATCACTGGCTGGGCACTTCGATCACCAAAATAAGCACTAATACTGGCACCCGCTAGGAATAGTGTCGGTTGTTAAGATTCCATACACGAGGCCTTTTACTCCTGCAGCAGGTGTATAGCGCCAAATAAAGAACCATAAGACAGGAAATAACAAATAAAAATGTTGGAAAGCAAAAGTTGAGACTTAATCTAGGTTTCCAGGTATACCATTAATAACATAATACCGAGTAAAGGGGACAAGCCTGTTTATTCATACCCTGTATATCATTGTCATCATCATACGCCTCCTTCTGAGGTAGAGGTATATTATACCTTCAAATAGCAATCTCAGAGGACATCAAGCTCAAGGACCAGATTGCGAAGTCATTCCACCATGACTCCTCTCGACTCTTTTGTCAGGTGACGGTTTGTCTGTTCGGATTATCTCTCCTCTGCTCCATCCCAACTGGAAATAACTACAAACTGACCCGGAATTACTATAGTAGCGAGCCGGTACAACAATTGCAGCACATCCGGAGAGCCTGTATGGGTCATCCCGTCCGCAGCCCATTATATCCCAGAGAACTTGCACATTGAGTTGATTTCTGGTTGGCGGATGTTGTCGAGAATCTCGGATATGGTTTTGATGGTCCGTCTCCGGGTGATTTTAGTGATTCTTGAGTCAAGATAGACTGAAGTCGAGGTTCAATGAATAGACGGTTACAAGTCAAAACAGGCAGCCTAGCATTTCTGTCTCTATCGAGAAGTCTGCCTTGTTGGAAATGTGTTGTTTTGGCGCTTGACTGTGTTCACATTCTCTTACTTCATTGATTTCGAAATAGGCTACTTCGGAGTTTGACAGCATGGCGCTGCGATCCCTTGAACCGCCAACTGGTCAATAGAGGTGCTTGTTGGATGTGCCACTCCTACAGCTACCGAGAGCCGCCTTTCACCCCAGTCCAATATTCATGCATATTTCTGATTTACTGTGGCTCGCCTTACATGAAATGGTGACCTGGTTGTCCCTTTCCGATTGGACGGATGCCCGTTGTCGGCTCGCGCGCCTTTGACGTATCTTGAATTCCTCGTCGGGGCGTCCGACAGCCAGGACGGTCCGATCCTCCGCTTACACGTTTTGTCGACAGGGATGAACCGAAAAATATAAAGGAGGACTACTTCTATAACACAGCTCCATCTCTTCGCAACATCGACCGTTTGAAATTACTTGGGTCGAATAATAAGGAAGGATGGTTGATACAGTGGTTAACATGGAGGGCGCCGCTGCACTGATAAGGGCGCTGCCCAGCAGCTACGCTCTCATAGGCCTAGCTGCCATTGTCCTCTACTGTCTGTACCAAGTAAGTTCGGGTTTCCTGGTGTATTTTCCCCTGCTAACTTTTACCCCACTGACAGGCAACGATGGTGACGGACATTCCGCGCATCAAAGGCTTGCCCGAAATCCCAGGCGCCGTTCCAATATTCGGTCATCTTCGAAAATTAGGTGACGATCACGCAAGTGTATGTGAGCGCTGGTGGCGACAGTACGGTCATTCAGTCTTCCAGATCAAGCTCGGTAATACGCGGGCGGTCGTTTTCAACTCCTTCGAAGACTGCCGCACGGTGTTACTGGGTCATCAAAATGCAATCATCGATCGGCCGAAGCTGTATACATTTCACGGAGTTATCAGCAGTACCCAAGGCTTCACCATCGGCTCATCCCCTTGGGACGATTCCTGCAAGAGGAAGCGCAAGGCAGCAGGGACGGCACTGGGTAGGCCAGCTTTGAGGAATTACCATCCCATGTTCGATTTGGAAAGCTATTGCATTGTTCGAGATCTATTTCGCGACAGTAAGAACGGCCAAGTTGAACTCAATATCCGCCCTTACATCCAAAGATACGCCCTCAATACGACCTTGACCCTTTGCTATGGTATCCGCATGGATGAAGTCTATGATGACCTTCTTCGGGAGATTCTCCATGTGGGATCTGCGATATCTTTGCTACGAAGTGCATCGGAAAATTTGCAGGACTATATTCCTATTTTGCGTTATGCGCCCAACAATGAAAAGACCGCTCGATCGAAGGAGCTTAGGGAGCGTCGAGACGCTTACCTCAATCTTCTCCTGAACAAAGTCCGCGATATGATCAAAAAGGGAACAGATAAGCCATGCATTTCAGCTGCCATCCTTAAAGATGAAGAGACCAAGCTTAGTGGTGTGGAGGTCTCCTCTATCTGTCTTTCGCTGGTCTCCGGCGGGTTTGAAACAATTCCCGGAACTCTTACTTCAGTCATTGGCTCATTGTCCACACCTGAAGGCCAGATCTGGCAAGACAGAGCATATGAAGATATCAAAAGATACTACGCTGATCCAGGGGATGCCTGGCTGTCATCTATTCATGAGGAAAAGGTCCCTTATGTCAATGCCATCGTCAAAGAGGCAGGGCGTTACTATACGGTCAGTTCCATGAGTTTACCCCGGAAAACCGCGACAGAGGTGAACTGGAACGGGGCTATCATTCCCCCAAAGACTATGATCTTGATAAACGCGCAAGCGGGTAATCACGGTAAGCATCAATAAATATCCGCAGTCCGAACAGCCTGCTAACTCGACCGTAGATGTTGACCACTTTGGACCTGATGCAGGAAAGTTCGATCCTGAGCGTTGGCTAAAATCTGTCGATCCCCCCAGTGAGAAGGAGATCCAGGGACTACCCCATCTGAGCTTTGGGGCTGGATCTCGTGCATGTTCGGGGCAAGTTATCGCGATCAGGTTGCTCTACACGGCACTGGTACGCATTCTCTCGTCGTACAAGATTGTGGCCAGTGAAGATCAGCCACCGAACACTGATTACGTCGAGTATAATCAATTCAAAACAGCTCTAGTGGCCATTCCGAGGGATTTCAAGGTCAGACTAATTCCGCGGGATGATGTATTGACTCGACAGTGCTTGGACGCTGCCGAATTGAGGACTAAGGAGCACTACCGGGAGTGATATTCTAGTGAATTTGAGCTTCTGGTATTACCTTGATCGCGTAAAATTACGTTCAACAACTTCTGTTGTAGTTTCAATTCTTCTGGAAATAATGCCGCTCACAAAGCCTGGTTCTGTCACTGGAGCGTCGGCCGATCCGACAAGAAGCTACATAAAGCGGGGAGCGCCCCCTCCCGACATTGCTCTTCCACATCTTCATTAATTATCCCCAAAGCACATTGTTCACACCAAAAATGGGGTCACTATTGACACAAGACATGATGAGCGTCAAGGGACGTGTCGCTCTCGTCACCGGTGGAAGTAGCGGAATAGGACGCATGATCGCACAGGTAAATCAGTCCTGAGACCCAACAAGGTAACACATACTAACAGTAGCCATCGTACCAGGGCCTTGTCACCAACGGTGCCAAAGCCTACATAGTCGCACTGCCAGGTGACCCTATCGATCAAACAGTACAGGACTTGAATGCATGTGGGATTGAATCAGGTGGAAGCGCAGAAGGGTACGTGTCGACAACACCTTTCCAAATCCCCTTATCAATAGGCCACCCAAGTACTCAACTCACAATCAAGCTACGCCTGCGACCTTTCCTCCAAGGACTCCATCTACCAACTTGCCAAGTCAATTTCTCAGAAAGAAACCAAGCTCGACATGCTCATATCCAATGCCGGGATTCGACGGGATCCACCCATCGCATGCAACGTACTCACAGCAACCCTAGCCGAGCTGCAGGAGTCAATGTGGTCCAGCAGAGAATCAGACTGGGCCGATACCTTTCGGATCAATACGACAGCGCACTACTTCCTTAGTGTTGCCTTTCTGCCTCTCCTGGCTGCCGCGGCCGATCAGCAACTAGATGATGGTCGCCGGGGTCAGGATGACGGGAGAGGCGTGGTGGTCATCACCAGCTCTTGTGCAAGTATGCACAATGCGACGAATGTGAACTTGACGAGCTACGCAGCGAGCAAAGCGGCCACAGATCATTTGGTGAAGTTGTTGGCTGCGAAGTTTCACCGGTTTTATGTGCGGGTAGTGGGGATAAATCCTGGATGTGGGTGTTGCTGTCTATTTCCAGATTTTTGCTTCACTTGAGCGACTTGATATGTCTGAGTCTGTACTGACATTGGGGCAGTTGTTCCCTCTAATATGAACCCCGTTGGCGCAGCAGGGAATATGTTCAGCGGCTTATTCGACAAGGTCCCTGCTAAACGAGCCGGGAGGGTTGAAGATCTTGCAGGGGCGGTGTTGTATCTGGTCAGCAGGGCTGGAGTAAGTTGTTCTTGCCATTCTTTCTTTCGAACGCTAATAAATCTATGCAGTCGTATGTGGATGGTATTTCTCTATGCATGGATGGTGGTCGCATCCTGCTGGCTAATGGGCAGGAATAAGGAGCACACAGAACAGTTTCTACCGTCACTTTCAGCAAGGAAAGTGAGGACTAGAAAACGAAATCATACAACTGGAGGTATATATCGGTGGTCACCGAGTATCCCAGATTAGCTTTTACTGCTTCATTTAGTCTATTTATATATCTTAAGATTAATTCAGGAATACTGTCAGTATTTAAACACTTTTTTTTTTTTTTTTTTTTTTTTTTTTTTTTTTTGAAATATATTATATTACCAGGCTGTGCTAACCAGGACAGCTAGATTAATCAAATATAAGATTTAATATTATGCTTTATCTATCAGAAATAGTACCAATCTTACAAATATTCCATCAGGAAATCAAACTTGAAGAATGAGTAGACTTGTATATAGTAGCTTCTCCTCTTTTTTTCCGGAGGGAGAAGACATATGAAGTGGACTTTGCACACTGAAACTTTGTAAATAGCTGTGCCCAATGCATGTCAAATAGAAGGGAATCTAGCGGATGAAATATCTGGCCAATGTGAAAATAATCAAGAGAATCATAAAACATTCAAGCAGGATCCAGAATGACAGTGCATAGCGAAAACTCTCCAGGGATAAGTCACCTCCGAATCGGGGACATATCCGCCTAATATTCGATCGCCGCGTAGGACTGAATCCCATGAGTTTGCATCACATAGGCCTCCAGTTCGTGGGTAGCCCAATCCACATACTCCACGGCCCTTTCGAGGTCTGAATTCCCAGCCGACACAACATCAGAGGAGCTGTACACAGGAACATACTGCTGCCCTCTAGCTTCTTGAAGAAAATGCCGATTTAAGTCCCAATGGACCGTAACGGCCCGTTCCAGTCGTTGTCCCCACCATTCTCCCAGACCCTGACTTCCAATCTCACTTTCAAAGAAATGAAAGCACGCCAAAGTCTCAGCTAGATATTTCTGATGATATGCCAACAAGTACTGTACCTCCCCTTGTCTCAGGCCCTCGATAAAATCGTGGTGTGTGTCTCGCATTAACTGGATCCGCCCGAAAAAGTCCAGGACCGGTTCCCACCCATAGTATCGTCTCACATAGTCGATCATCGTGTCCTCATCGCCTCGTTCCTCAGCTGTCAGGCTGGAATACCACTGCTCCATCTCGAAGCCCCGGGTTTCCATAATCAAGTACATCAGCTTCACTGCCTTGTAGCGGTCTGCGGCGCTGGAGGCTGTGACGGCCATTGCGTTCACTCGGGATATTCGATCCTCCACCATTTGTTTCAAGGTTTGGAGTTCAGCGTACATGTCCTCGGCTCTAGCTTCGATTCCGGCCCGATGGGCGAGTATCTCGCTGATATTATAAATATCTAAATGCGGGTGGAACTCCATGGTGATTGTCTTTTCGGGGAGGTTGATGACGAGGGGAAATGTGAAGATAATGTCATTTAACCTCAGAAGTGGCTCATAGAGGCATATTGTGTAAGAAGAATGGGAAAAAGGAAGGGGTTTGGGGGCGCTCAGGGACATCCGTAGCGCGGCTTCGAACTGCCATCACGACCAATCATGATTCTCTGCGATTAATCAGATGAGGGGTGATCTTTGACAAATGCAGCGGCGCTTACAGAGAGAAAGGACATCTATTGGTCATAATTGTATGGTTTCTTTTTTTTGTTGCGGGACAGATGCCTTTCATAATTGGCGTTCGCTGGCGGAACACGAGCGAATGCAGATGCATGAGACCGATTTAGGGTTTATGAACATTATCCTACACCAGTTGTTCACTTTGACCCAAAATGAGGGTTCTAAATCCAATGTCAAATGCCAATTATCTCAAGGGCCTTGATGAACAAGATTATTGGGCTCGCAATTGTCTTGACTGACGTAGCGGAGGCCCTTTGCTAGCTTTCATATCCAGTTTCTCGTTCTCTCGCACAGCTGCTCTTGTGCACGACGACATCTCTTGGTTAAACGCTTCACAGTTTGTGGTCTAGACTTCGACTCTCGGACGGGTGCGAGGTCTGTCGCCTTTGCAGTCCCCCTCACCGATCGCCTAATTGGAACTTCAGTTGAGCTGGGGTGAGGAAGCTGAGTATTCAAATGACATGGCGAAGTCTTCGTGATGGAGATAGAGTTGGCCTTCAATAGGCGTGGGTCGATATCTCTCTTTCCGGGTTCGACGGAGGAGGCGGGAGTGTCAGATCTCTGACGATTCTCTGCTTTCAAATACATTTCGCTGGAGGAACTGCGATTGCAGCTATTTTGCGAGACCAAAGCGAGATGGCACAATTCAGGGTTGACATCATATGAGCGTGCAGTGGAAGCAATACAAAAGGGGAACCTAAGGTATGGATGGAGAGACGAGTTCTGGGAGTTAAGTTTAGACTTGCTTGATCTGTAGGATGGGTAGACTTATATACCAATGACTGTTTTTTCTTCTGTCTGAAGGAGAAGAGGTATAAAGTAGAATTTATATAGAATTAGCCAGACTACATGATGATAGGCATAGAAGCATGGCTATTCCTTTCGCTATTATATATACTGTATAAAGTAGAGTGGTCAATAACACAGCAGTAGAAGCTGATTAACAAAAGATTATAACAAATACTTTGTCAGAGATGACACGAGTAATAAATAGGAAATCTGACTGTGATCACATCGTACAGTATACTGTGGATGATTTAAATCATGCCTTCTCAGTGCTAAGATATCTATCTCTGTGGGTGCACAACCCAACAAAGCATAGAGTTGCTATTAAAAACGAACAAATTTCCTCTAGTTGTCTCATAGCATATGCATCCGATTGGCCAATTTATTACGGCAGTTCATATAGGGAGAATATAGGTCCTATATTATCTAGACTTCGAGCTTCTGATGTATCACAGATTGTCAAGGTACGGCATTCCTAGCGAATGCAATCGCCACATGTAATGAAGACAGCGAACGTTCTGATACTGAAGTCGCTCAACATCAACGACTTTCCGATCCAAATATTTACCATGCCTTTCCAAACAAATCAAGCACTGGCACCTGGGTCAGAGTAATCTGTCCAACAAGTGGAGCTCTTTTGCCCCTTCCTTAACTTTTGATTGAGGTGGAAATGGGAATATGGAGGAGTGTTCTAAGATCTCACCTAAGTTCGACTTCACTTCATATTGTACCCTGTCAGTACTCTTGATGGAAAACAATTTTGTCTGCCAACTATGTTTAAGTACCATCTTGATTGCAGTCTCCTTCCTGGACATCCACATGAACATAGTGCCATTTCATTCAAGGCGGGGATGGCGGTGAGCCATTGGCTCAGTGGGGTATAAGCAATGCAGGTATCTTGGATATGTGAGATCGGGGGTAAATGATTGGACATCGCGGGTGGCCGGCACAATAACGCGCCATTGTTTCAGCAGATCACCGTTGCTGTGGGGCAGGAGGCCTAGCTTGGTGCGGAGATGTCGCTTGCAGAACATCGAAGCAGGGAGCTGCTTGAGACTTGTGCCACTCCTATGCTGGCACTTTGGTGCATAGGACCGAATATTTCGCTGCCACCAATATTTCCCCTCCCCCAGAGCGGACGACAAGATATTCAGCCCACTGTTACGTCTATGCTAGACCTTTGCTGCATAGCAATGCTAACAACTCTGCTATGCCGATTCTTCCCCCAGGGCCGATAAGCTATTTAGCCGGGCAGCGCAGAATATGGATCTGTGCTTCTGCTTTAGTCCATAAGTCGAGCTATTAAACTGCCGCTCATCACCTATAAATACCCTTTATCTTCCGCTCCCCGCTCAAAGCTTGATTGTGTGCCTTTCCAAACTGACAGATCGATCGCCCATAATGCAGCTATTATCCCTACTTGTCAATCCATTTGCCGCCAGTATACTTTTGCTTCTCAGCACTGGCAGCTATGTTATTTACCAGTGCTTTTTGTGTCCTTTGGCCCGGTTCCCAGGCCCCTTTTTGGCCAAGCTTACCAACTGGCATCGGGCATACCTCACCTACGAGGGGCGGTCCCATCATAGGTACCTTGCGTTTCATCGGAAATATGGTGCGGTGGTGCGCACGGGACCGAACGTGTTGTTAGTTTACCCATCAACGTAACCAAGTTCATGACTGAGGGTATGTCCAGGAGCGTCGCAGATCCGACAGCATTCCGGGAAATATACAGTAAGTTTCTTGATCATGTTCCGATGATTCAAGAAGTCACTAAAAGTCGGTAGAGGCAGGGGGCAAGTTCGCCAAATCCGCGTCGTATAGCGTCCCAAAAGAGTCTCAGGCTTTTGATCTCTTCCGCCAACGAAACGAAAAGATACATGGCGAACAGAGAAAGCTCGTTGCACGTGCTTACTCAATGGATTCCATGGTTCACCTCGAGCCCAATGTCAGCTCTATCCTCACGAGTATGGTGCAAAAGCTGGACACCCTATCCGGTGTTGTCGATCTTGGAGCATTTCTGCAATTGTTCGCATTCGGTAAAGTACATTGTGCAGCTAACTGTGATCTTTACTGACGTATGTTTGTAAGATGTAATCGGTGCAGTCAGCTTCTCACGCCCGTTTGGCTATGTCATTGCCGGTGACGATGATGGCGTATTTTCTCGGCTTAAGCAATCGTTGCGGTCAATGTCCTGGCTCATGAGCGTGCCCTGGTTTTACGATATCCATCAAAGGCTGAAACCGTTTATTGGCAACTGGCTGGCAGTCAATGATCGAAATGGTTACTTTTACCAGTTCGCAACTCAAGAGATTGTCTCGCGGAAAGACCGGGGCGGCGATGATCGAGATATCATAAACCAGCTATTTGCGATTCAGAAGACCAAGCCTCACTTCAGTGACACGGACATGGCATTTATGATGACTGCGAATGTGTTTGCCGGCTCAGATACGACGGCGACGTCGCTCAACGCGATATTCTATCTTCTCCTGAAAAACCCGACCGTCTACCAGCGACTGATGCAGGAGTTAGAAGAGAAGAAATCAAAGGGAGAGTTGAGTGATCTGGTAACTTTCCAGCAAGCAGAATCCTGTCCGTATCTGCAGGCTGTGATGTATGAAGCGCTCCGGCTGTATCCTGCTGCTGGACTTCAGCTGAACCGTGATGTGCCGGAGGGGGGTATGAAGATTGGGAATTACTATGTTCCAGAGGGAGTAAGTTATGTCCCGCCCCTCGTCTCCATGCTCCTCTTGTAACATAAATGTAGACAGTGGTCGGTTCATCTGCGTGGGTCATCCACCGCCTGCCGGAGATCTGGGGTCCTGACTTTGAGGAATTCCGTCCGGAGAGATGGCTGGAAGGGGACGTGGGAAATCTGAGTAAGTAATTCAACCGGCGTGGAGGCAACCGCTCATACTGTTTCAGAACGATTCTATTTTTCATTTGGCGGTGGTTCGCGCACATGCGTTGGGAGGAGTAAGTATTTTCTTTTATTAACTAACTGTTTACTGGTTGTGACAATGCTAACATCTTGTCAGACATAAAGCTGGTTGGAGATGTCAAAGGTATAGCCTGCCCTCTCATACCTTTACTAATGCGAATATACTAACCTCAATTTAGCTCGTCCCTACTCTTCTCATGCGCTACAACATCCAATTGGCACCGGGTGCAAAGGTGACGGATGAGAGCGGGTAAGATATCTAGCCAACCCTTGCGGTAGGGTCTACTAACCTGTCACAGAGGTTTAATCTTTATCCGTGGACTCGAGGTACTCTTAAGTCCGCGACAAAACTCAGTGGCGTGAGACAGCTCCCAGTCAAGAGAGCTTCAGTGGCGGAAAAGGTCTGCATAGAGATCGGCTGCGGTACATGACACACTCATCAGAAAACGTATGACTAGTCCAGAATGAATTTTAGCAACAACAATAGCAGGTACTCATCATCCTATTTGTTCTTTTCTCCACTCTAGCAGCAACAGGAGAATCGGAAGGATCAGCTATCATTAATAATATCATTCCTTACATACCAGAACGATCCAATTAAACAGCACATATTAACCCCGACGGAGAGTCCAAACCGCGAAAACCCGAACCCCGACGGCATCTCATCTTCACGGACATAACCAGCTCCCTTCCAACTAATCACCGAGCCCTAAGCATGCATAGTAGATAGTATACTCCCAAAAAGTCAATTCCTTATGAAAATACTATAAAACCGAACCTTCACCCATCAAACAATCAACCCTTCACCCTCACAGACATCCCAAAACCACACCATCAACCGACCTTCCAGCCCCAAAACCGAACCAAAATGCCCACCAAAACCCTCTTCCTCACCGGCGGCAGCGGCTACGTTGGCAGTGCCCTCATACCCCTCGCCCTGGCCAAAAACTACACCATCCGCGCCCTCTCCCGGACCCCTGAATCAGACACCAAACTCCTCTCCCTCGGCGCCACCCCCGTCCGAGGCGACCTAACCAGCCTCACGACCCTCCACACCGAAAGCGCCTCCGCCTCCGCCGTAATCCACCTCGCGACGGCCTTCGTCTTCGGCCACACCCCCAGCTACTCCTCCATCAAAGACATCGACACCGCCGCCCTCGACGCCATTGTCTCGGGCCTCTCCTCAACCCCCAACCCTGACGGCTCACCCAAACCCCTCGTCACCACCAGCGGCACCCTCGTCGTGCGCCCTAACCCCGACGGATCCGAAACCGACGAGTTCTCCCCATTGGACACACACCCTCTTGTATCCCGGAACGAGATCACGGTGCATGGACTAGCCCTCGGCGAGAAGTCCGGAGGAAAGGTACGGGTAATGGACATCCGCCTCGCGCCGTTTGTGTACGGGCGTGGCGGCAGCGGGATTAGATTGTTTATGCAGATGGCGAAGCATGCGGGGAAGATGGTTACTGTGGGTGGTGGGGTGAATCGTACGACGACGGTGCATGTGGATGATGTGGCGGAGTTGTATTTGCTTGCTCTGGAGAAGGGGGTGCAGGGAGGTGTGTATAATGCGGGTGATAAGACGGGGGTTACGGTTGGGGAGATTTTGAGCGCTGTGGCGGAGATTATGGGTGTGCCGGTGGAGGATTTGGGGATGGAGGAGGCGAGGAAGGGACTGGGGGATGCGGTTGCTGGGTTTTTGGCTGCTGAGAATAGGGCTTCGGGGGGGAGGGCGAGGGGGGAGTTGGGGTGGGAGTGTAGGGGTAAGGGGGTGCTGGAGGATATTAGGGGGGGTTCCTATGTTGGGGTAGTGGGGGAGTTGTAGATGTTATCTGGTTGGTCGTTCGTATATGTCTGCTTCGTGACTTCTGGGGAGTGATTTGATGTAGTAGTGTTTGTTGATTGTTTAGGTAGTGGAATTGATGTGTCTGTTGTGATCTTTGCAATTGGGTAGTCGGTAGTCTGGTCTGTTGATATCATGAATTTAATTTTGCCTTGCATCTATCTATATACCTGCATATAAGTATCACATTTTGGTCTGAAGTTACACAAAATAAATGTAGAAATAATCAATTCTCCGATCAACTTGTATCAGTCGAACTGGATAAGCTTTGCGGGGAAACGGGCCGGTCCGGACATGTCATCCATGATTGCACAACTACAGTAGGTAGATGCTGGGTGACAAGTCGAAGAAATCTATAAATACATCTTTCAATATAGGAAAGAAGAATGACAAAGTGAATCTGTTAGAATATTCGCACATACTTAAACAGATAGCTATGTAGAATCGGCCTTGTAAAATGTGTTTGATAACAGGTCTGATATTGTATGGATCTAGTTGTATGTCATGGAATTTGCCACACCAATCCTATTAATGCAGAGAGGTACGTATCTACCTGGGGTTGTAGCTCAGTGGTAGAGCGCTCGCTTCGCATCCTTAAATGGGAAATGCGAGAGGTCAAGGGTTCGATCCCCTTCAACTCCAACTCTTCTTTTTATTTTTTGCGCCTTCAATGTACGGATTCTGTGGATATCGATGTGATAGATAGAGGCAACAATCAATGTTTGAACATGTGCACTATCACCAGATAGAGATGAGAAAGGAAGGAGTATAATATCTGTGGTCTATTTGCATGGGTTTTCAACTGCACGTATTTTGTTAGTATCAAACTGCCTTTTCTGTTTCGCTCCAACGGAACAGCAGATCTAATCACTCGCATTATCCCATAACCCATAGCACTGGAGATTACAGATAATCAAGTTATCAGTCTCCCTTTTCTATCGAGTATGCTATTCCGTCACTTGCGCAAGGACCCCTTCAACCATTCCAGCAACGCTCTATACTGGTCCGGCGACATCATTCCCGGATTGAAAGGCGAAAGGGCCTCGCAATGGACTTCAAGATGCGCAATACCAATGGTGACTCCAGTATGTTCTGCCTAGAAACACGAAGACGGATCATGAGAAGTGGCACCACATAAAACTTGAAATAACTAACCTTAATCTTCCTAGCAGTCTTTATGATCGAGTCATACAATATCTCATGCCCTCCCACTCCGATAAAGATCTCCTCCACAGGCAAATCCCGCCACCAGCCTCCAGGTGCACCGGCGGGCTGGTTATAACTGTCGGGCTCAGTATCACCAAGAAACATATCAGCCCAATGGATCAGCAACTTGAGTGAGACAAGATCCCTCGAAGCATTTCTCCGGCAGCTGTCGTAATCAGTCCGAGACTCGCCCATCCACGGTGAAAGCAACAATGCCCCAGCAAGGTTCTCAGGCAAGAGTAGGGGAGGAATGTGAGGATGGGGATGCGCAAGATGAGATAGAACAGACAAGATGAGATGTGCGCCCGCAGAATCACCCAGCAGCACAATGTCGGACGGCCGCTTTCCCAGGTCCTCGATGACATATTGGAGGAGTGCGACGGCCTGCTTCATCTGATGGGGATACTGAGCCGTTGGGGTTAGCTCATAAGGGAGGAAGAGCATTCCGGCATCTATTCCTGCTTGCCCCAGACCTTTGAGGATGGAGGTAGAATAGTCGATGTGAGAAGGAAGAGCAGGGAGGCAGTATGCGCCACCTGGCAAATGGAGTAGCAGCCGCTCGGCGTCTGGGTTGCCTAGCCAGAAAGCAGTGGTCCCATCAGGCAGCTTGACTTTCTTCAAGGTCGTGTGTGTGCAACGTGCCCATGTCTCGAGAAGCCGAGCGGAAGTGTCGGGGGAATAGGCATACCTGGAGACCCCTTCATTAGAAGATCTGTCTGGGGTGATATTGCTGCAACCTACCGGAACTGGTCTATCGATACAGTCTCAAAGAAAGTCCGCACGGCCATGGCCATTATGTGCTTCGTGGCTGCTGTACCGCCACGTGGACCTCTGACAGGCGCTTGCAATGCTGTCCATGACGCTGCGATTACTGTTATGTAGGCTGGTAAGTATGGGTGTGAAGCAAGGATACATCATACACACAAGCCTTGCTAATGGCCCAGAGCAGACCTAATATGGCTAGAAGCTCCATGCTTGATAAGATCGATCACTGTTTTTTGGTTATATCTTGAAGAATATATGTCAACTAGTATCTATTTATGACTAGATTACAGTTGCTGCTGCTTAAGTTTTGACCCGCCGATCCCTACATCATAAACAGAGATAGAATTGGTCCAACAATATGGCTGGGCCGTGAGAAAAGCTTAACTGCTTGGCAAAAGGGCAAGAAAGTATCGCAAAGCAGGAAATTCACATCGCATCGCCGGCTTAGTTCTTCTAGATCTGAGCGTATGCTAAGGCCCGGGCGCCACCATCAGTCTTATCGATTTGTCTCTTATTTGCCAGTCCACAGTACCGGTTGGACTGGGATACCTGGTCGAACATCAATTATATCTACTGCGATGGGTGACGTAGTCAGACTTGCTGACAATCGTTACACCAATCCACTATATTTTACAATCCCAGAATACTAGTCTTGCTGTATAGAGATCGAAGACCAGCACAAATGTGATTCTACACTAGATCTCAGTGCTTCTCTGCCCCTGCCCTAAGATCATTCGCCACACTTTATCAAAAATCACCTTATTCAAGCCCCACCAAGGGGGTAAAAGCAGGAATCTGGGCACTGGCACTATAGTACTTAGGCCGCTATTCGGTAGTTTTGTCGTGAGCAGCTTCCTTAGCCAAAACATGGTAACATAACAAAGTCACTTGTTCCAGAGCCAAGCTACCCCGTGGCAATGCTTCTTTTGCGCGTATGCACAAAATCGTGTCAACTTCATTTTCCCGGTTTCTGTATCATACAATTTAACCTCACTCCAACAAGTTGGCCGGATGGTGTAGTTGGTTATCACGTATCGTTAACACCGATAAGGTCCTGGGATCGAGCCCCAGTCTGGTCATACTTTTTGCCGAGCATTGCTTTTTGCACCACGGCTAATTGATCTTTTTCATGCTACTAGGCAGCGTTGCGCCCAATTTCTTTTATTTCTTTCATTTGATATATTGTTTTTATATGTTTGCTAAGCTGGTTGGGATCTCAACTCTTGATTCCCATCCCAATGTTATGTTGATACATGCCCCCAACCCGGTTAAAATACGACTGCATCCCAAATGGAATGGATATACATAACTTCAAACTCCATCCAGGAAGCTACTGAGTAGGTACTAAATGGTCAAATTAAAGGTATTGTGTTTGCCAACTTGCCTTCTTTCTCTACTGCTTGTGTTCCCACGTGCGTGGTTCGGTATGCAAGTCTTTCCGATCGACTGATGGTCCGTCGGGAAGATCTCGGGGAGTTACATGCATGCCAAGCCCTTCTATGCAGCAACTCTAGCAGCCTTGGAGACCTGTGCCGATCATAAAAGAAAAAAAGGGCAATGGTTTGTAGCTGAGCCCGGTTTTGGACAGGACCAGGTTGGAAAAAAGCAAAAAGTAATGACCAGACTGGGGCTCGATCCCAGGACCTTATCGGTGTTAACGATACGTGATAACCAACTACACCATCCGGCCAACTTGATGGAAGAACAGTTCATTTTATGTATTACAAACAAAGGCTGTACTCAAAGAGTGGAAAAAGAATGTTCGTGTGTGCCGTTAAGACATGAGCACTTGAGGCTCGAATACAGTAACGTGAGCAAAGATATGTGGTTAGGACTAGGGTAAATGGTAGTGGTTCGATCCTTCAAAGTAGATCAGACGTGGTCTGTTACAGGGTTACTCCGTGTCCTTGTCTACTCGACTTCAGATGTCATATGAGGTACTGTCTGCATTCACTTTGGATTGGTTCGCATTGGCTCTATTGTAGTTGAATCGAGCCTCCGATGTGTTGTTGAGTGGCTATACAGACCTTTAACCAAATAAACAGAGTCTACAGGGAAAAAAAAAAAAAAGGGAATTTTCTTCACAGTCAGTATAGAAACAGCGGTAGGAGATATAAATAATGTGAGAGCCGATCAAATATATCTTATTTGGTGTATATAAACTAGTAGAATATCGAACACAAGGAGGGAAAGAAAAAAGTATAAGAAAATATATATAAATAATGTAAACAAAGTAAAATAAATAAAGCAAATAGAACAATGTTATATGATCTGGTTATATACTTCTTGAATACTGCTTACTATCAGAAGCAGAGCATCTATACCAGGAGCATGATTCGGTTTTTCTCGTCGCAATGGCCAGTCGGTGCCTTTGGTAGGGCTCTAGTCTGTAAGTCTGGGGTGTCTATGAATGCTAATGCTCAGAATAGAAAGTATGAGTCGACTGCTGCAGTACGACTATGTATCTCCGTATAGTATGAATTTCGTCTTGCCACTCCTTATCGAAGGTAATACGAAGCTCGCAAGCCACACAGTAAATAGAGTTTCTTAGCTATCGGAGTGACTATCTAGCCGGCCCCGACTGTCTGTCTCCACTGCTGTCTGGAAGTGGCAATCCCGAAATCCAAAAATGACAATGAGAGGGGTCGACCCACTAGAGCCATGGTTTATATGCCATAACCTCTAAAGGCGATTGCAAATGGTGGTATTAAGGATGGGAGAAATCGTCTTCCCTGTGGTTCGACTGGCATTCTTTTTCGCTTGTCATGCTACAGGATCAAAAGTCTAAGCAAGTTATACCCCTTATTCCATTCACATCGTCATGACAGGCAACGTTTCAATGGTAACAGGCGCGAGCGGCTTCATCGCCAGCCACGTTGTTCAACAACTTCTTGAAAATGGCGACCAGGTCCACGCAACCGTTCGCAGTACTAAGAATAAAAAGAAAATCGGACACCTCCTCGACATGCAAGAGCGATGGCCAGGCAAGCTGCATTTATTCGAAGCAGATTTGCTTGTCGCTGGCTCATTTGAAGCCCCAATGAAAGGCTGTTCGGTGGTGTATCATATCGCTTCGCCGTTTTTCATCGAGAACAAGATTCGCGACGGCCAGAAAGAGGTTGTTGAGCCGGCTCTGAAAGGAACGCAGCATGTGCTTGATGCAGTCGACAAATGCGAGTCCGTCAATCTGGTGGTCTTGACCTCGTCTGTCGCGGCCATCTTCGGTGATAATGCCGATGTGCTAGGAATGAAGAATAAGACGCTCTCCGCGGACTATTTTAACACGACGAGCTCGGTCACCCACAACTCCTATTCCTATTCAAAAGTGGTCGCTGAAAAAGAGGCCTGGAAATTGTACGAAGCCCAGCCAACGCCCCGGCGCTGGAAGCTAGTCACCATAAACCCGGGGCTGGTCCTGGGACCATCCTTATCCCCCACCTCCGAGTCCGGCAGTGCTGGCTTTACTGGATCAGCTCTTACGCGGACAGCTCTTTCTGGGTGTGCCTGATTTGTGGTTCGCAATTGCGGATGTACGAGACGTCGCAACTGCGCATATTCGAGCGGCCCGGAATCCAAATTCTCATGGCCGCTATATTCTGGCCGACAAGACAACACATGGTTTTGTTGAGCTCGCTCGCATCATTCGGTCATTTACACAGTCTTTTACGATCCCGAAGAATACAATCCCGAATGCCTTAGTACGCATGTCTGGGCCAGTACTTGGATTCAGCCAGAAGTGGCTGCGACTCAACCTTGGGATTTCCTTCAACATTGATAATCGTCCCAGTGTGAATGATTTGGATATTGTGTATAGACCACTAGAGGAGACATTGTTGGATCATTATCGGTCCTGGAAAAGTGCCCAGACAGCGTCGCTTTAATTTTTTGGTCAGCTAATATCGAGAACTACTTGCTTCTCATTACAAACTGTGAAGGCGCGAATCCATTTCCCATGGGCTTTTCTTTCTATTTTTTCTCGTTGAGGTTGACTTCGGCCATCTGTATATGTCCTCGGGGCATACGGTTCAGACAGATTCCAGATTTAGTACGATAGGTTCAGGACACCAAGAAATGGCTTAAAAGATATGTTTTTACTAAGCTAGCCTAATTATACTTATAAATAATTATAATAATATTATGAGTATATCTCTAGACTCTAGTTTTGACACTCTATTTGACCGTTAATTGGATAGTTAAAATAATTCTTTATTACTAATAAGCTGGCTCGGTGTATCTTTTCTATATAGTATTTTTTTTTATAAAGCTATTAGCTGTTTACTCCATATTTAGTATCTTTTATACCGAAATATACCACATAAGCTTAGTGGGAAAGGTGTTAGTTTAATATGAACTCTCACAAGTGTTCGAAGGAGACCTAGACAGCGCCCGGAATTCCTCTCAAAATAGCAAGAAACCACGAGACCGCGGCCTACGAGGCCTTCACAGAGTTCAAACGTGTCGAGGGTCCTCTACAAGTAGCAGCCAGCGGTGTTGAATCTTGTCCAGGGGCTTACGAAAGAACAGCATGAAGCTGTTTTACGCGGCCAAGAGGAGAGGACATGCGTAATGTCCAGCACCCTGCTGAAGATCCCATTCTGCCTGCTGAGGATGTGACAATCACTCCACTTGGGGGCCCTTGGGCCCCAACTAACTTCACAGAAGTGGAATGAGAGCCAATTGAAGGAAGGCGATGGTGTCCTTCAGAAAGGCCCTCCTGCAAACCGAAAGGATGCGTTAAATATTTTTGAAAGATTACTGTGAAAGCTGGAAGCTGTATGAAAATGCCTTCTCGGAGGTTTATCCCAAGAGGGTACGCTATCTCTCCCGGCACAGTTGCCATTTTCCTGAGTTAGAGAAAGTTCCTAAGTACATTCAATGTCTTAGATAAGAAGCTTTATTGGCTCTTGATAAACTACCTTTGTATCCTCCGTATCTGTGTCAGAATTATCCCTTTGCTTACAAGTGATTTCTAATTGCTTGATCACATCCGATAGTTATTTACGCAAAGGAATCAAACCTCATGGCGCATACGGAAGTAAGCCCGTAGCTATACGCTGGATCTGGTCCCGGAAATACCGCTTCGTTATATCAGCACTAATCCATCAACCATCGGCGGATGTAAGCTTACCGTCTCTGCCCCTCCACCTAACATGCGCATTTTGAGTAGGCTCGCCAAGAAAGGAACTTGCACTTTGGAGAAAACTACCCGCGCTTCTTGATCAGTGTACATATCGTCCATCATGAGCCGCGGAAAATCTGGCTTCAGCACTGCTGGACGGCCGATGCCGACCAGATCGCATGCTCCGCTGTTCAGCGCGCCCTCGATTCCTTTCCGGGTCCGGAATCCTCCAGTGAGAAGGAGAATCAGGTCTGGGAACTGCTTTCTTGTCTGTCTTGCGAAGTCTAGGAAGAAGGCTTCGCGGGATTCGGTACTTTGGCTTTTGCCGGGGCTGGTTTCGTCCCGGACACCGCGGCCCATCATCTGTTTTTGTTAACCCCGTCAGTGGGTGGATCTATATTTTATAGAATTGGATCATTGCTTATTATTCTGTGGATGCGTACAGTTGGGTCTTCATATGATCCACCAGATATTTCAAGGAAATCGATACCGGCGTCTGCGAAAAGACGAATTTGAGTCATTGTGTCTTCACATTCTGATGTGTTAAGATCAGCGGAGTTCAACTTGATCCCGATGCAAAAGGTTGCAGGAACGGTATCTCGAATTTGTTGGATGATCTCGAGGACAATACGCGCTCGCCGCTCTGCGCTGCCGCCATATTCATCTTGACGGATGTTGCTCTGTTCGAGTAAGCACACATATTAAGTAAACTGTAGTTTCATCTGTGGGTGTATCATGCTTACTCGGGGTGAGAGAAATTGCGCTAGATCCAGTATCAGTCAACCGTGTACGCACGCTCATAATACCAGCATGAACTGAAGCAAGTAAAGCTTACACAAAAGGTAACCATGCGCCGCGTGAATCTCGATTCCAGAAAAGCCACAACGAGCGAGAATGCGAGCACATGTTACAAACTGGGCAATCACACGGTCTATATCAGAGCGTGACATTGCCTTTGGAACCCCGAAAACAAGATCCCTGATAGCATTCGCGACCCAACCACTTCCTACGTCAAGTGGCACTTCGCTTGGAGCGATCGTTCTTTCGAAGAAGCCTCGTTCTCCGGCCCCTCTCGGCGACTGCCGGCCTGGATGGCATATTTGAGCGATGGCAGGGGTGCCGTGCTTTTGACAGCTTTCTGCGTATCGCCTCCATGTATCCATTGAATGGTGATCGTTTTCATGAGACTCACTCGTGGCTAGATCGCCGTTGCCTCCTAGGTGACGAACATCGACCTGTACGTTCCCTTTTATGGTGTTAGATTTTAAACTGAATTATTTCGGGGTTGTTGAATCGTACCAGTGAGAAGAGCACCCCATCCGCCGTTTGCCCATTCGCCGTAGACTCGAGATATCCTTGGGCCTGGTAGGTGGCTTCCTTCTGCTAGTCCTTCGGCCATAGCAGCCTGGACGGGGGTATTAGTTACTATACAATTCGTAGAGTGGTCATCTGCGGTACCTTCACTAAGCGATTAGGAAAAACCAACCCGCATGGTAGCTTAAGGGGTTCCTTGATAGCTGTGCTCATCCTCAAAGAACTATATTTTGTCAATATTTATTTGATTGATTTCCCGTCCTATCCAGGCAAGCGATTCAAATTATAGCCACTGTTGGTATTGATTCTCTAGATCTGAACCTTAGAGAAAGAAAACTGGAAAGCCTAGGATCTAAGGTACTGCCGAGGTATTCGTCGGCCATGATTATCAATTTGCTTCTGCTTTTCGGTTCCTATCCAACCCTCATATGGCTTGTGACGAATAATTCGAGATTCATGCTGAGAAGATCCACTTTGGAGTGCGGACCCACCCAAGGCTTGTCAGTTTGTCAATTTATCACGGGCATCGGACCAACAATCCATCCGCCACATAGTTCGAAGGCGCCATAAGTGGAGACTGAACTGCATCATTAGCTGAACCCTATTTTTCCCATGCTACTCTTATTTTTTCCGAATGGCAGTTTTGCTCGGTCTTTATATTTTTTTTATTTTAGTCTTCACAATATCTGAAATTACGGCCGTATTTATGCAATGGCAATAGAGCGTATTGAGCACACATCGTCGTTCTATATTACCTGAAGAAGGGAGCAAATTTTCTTCTTATTCTTCTACACAGGATCGGCATCCTTGTATTTTGGTATGCGTCAATTGACTTCATAGAATGCAATTAGCTGGTGTCCCAATAAGACCCTGCAAGAATTTCAGAAAATTGTAGTAGAATTAGCCTGACAGAAGAACTTTCTAATTATACAGCGAAATTATATTAATCAAACACAATCACAGACTTGCCAACGCCTCCCTTCCCATCATACACTACTTGACAAGCATCCCGGACTGCCTTAATATCATTAAAACTTGCCTTCGTTCCCACAACCGTTCTCAACTTCCCGGCCTCCACCCATCCCCGAATTGAATTCAAATCAGCCGCATTTGGTTCCAAGAAGATGGATGCGTATTTGACCCCATAACGAGATGCACGAGCTACTCGGATTCGATCCATCACGTTCAATGCAATCCGGAGAGGGAAGGGCACTGTTGCTTTATCGTTCTTGTCGGGCGACCGGCGCATAACGCTTGAGTTTTGAAGAACGTCTCCAGAGGTCAATATAGAGACTGTAACGATGGCTCCTTTCGGTCGGACTAGACTCAGATATTCCATTGCACTACCCGTCGTGTCGAAGATAAAATCGACAGATCCCTTGGGGATGACTTCCTTAGGATCGGACTTTCTGTAGTCAATGACTGAAATCATTTGTGAGTCTTCTGGTAATATCAATCAGACCAGAGTCAGTGTCTACTTACTCTCGTCTACTATCCCCTCTCCCAACAGCTCTTTCACCTTGGGAACCTTCTGAGTGGAAACCGTGGTAATCACCTTGCCGGCTTTGAAGATATTTTTTGCGAGCTGGCATGCAAAAATGCCAGTTCCGCCAACTGTGTCAAGTTTAGTTAAGTATGGTCTAGCCTGTGATAACCGAATAGGGAACTTACGACCAGCGGGTATGAAAACCGTCTTACCCGCGAGATCGCCTTCATAGCCACGCAGCGCCTGCAGGGATGTCATGGCCGCTAACGGAATTGACGCGGCATCTTCCATAGACAGATTCTTCGGCTTCAATGCGACAAAGTCTTCAGTCGATCGGGCGAGCTCGCTCCATGATCCGCGGTGGCATTCTGGTAATCGCACGAAGACCTCGTCACCGGCCTGAAACCGTGTTACCTGAGATCCAATGTTGACCACCGTGCCGGCACAGTCGTAGCCAATTTTATACGGAAAGCTGCTCATAGAAGTTAGACCAGAAAAATTGTCATGGAGATTAAGTTCGTACCTATCCTTCAGAACCATTTTCGTTGCCCCCGAGGCTTTCTTCACATCTATCGGGTTGATGCTGGCGGCATGAACCTTGATCAAGATGTCGGTGGGCTTCTCCACGACCAGCGAGGGCACATCGCCCAGCTGGTATTGATCGGGCGCCGTATGTTCTGTAATGTACACAGAACGCATCTTGGTTGGTGGCATGAGAGCGAATTGCTTTGAGTCCAAACGTGTAAGGAATGGAATGCCTGTTAAGTAAGTCAGGAAGTGTAGGTGCATTAGCCAATCGTGCCGAAAGCTTATTTGAGTCGGCGTTTCAATCTGCCCGACGGAAGCGGAGGTTAGAGTTACGTTGGACCCTTTTCTTAGTCATAGGTATTGATCCCAGGGAAATTCGTTACTTTTCTACACCTCCCCGAATACAAGCATTTTCACCCGATTCTCTAGTCCACCCAGCAGGCCGTGTCTGTCATTAGATGTAACCCTCTGTTCGAGAATACAACACAATCATACTCGCGACCAGCAGACAGGTGTAGTGACAAAAGTGGAGAAACTTGAACATCACTACTCCTACAAAAGACATGGATGAACGACCTCGCTCAAGCCGTTGCTTTTCTAGAATCGCTTAATCTCGCACACGGCGACCTACGACCCGAATACATTTACTTGGTCGCGATCGATTAATACTGACAGATTTTGAAGCATGCATCGCCCCGTATGGAAGAATACTCAACAGCGACGAGCTGGATCAAGGACGACGTGGAGGTTCCGATTTCCCAGGTCCTCGGACCGAACAATTTGCCCTGTCTATAACGTTCTATAGTACTAAAGAGTAATTGCTCTGTTTAGAGATTATAGGCGATTTATTGCACCTGTAGTAAGTATACGCGTCAAGTAAAATTTGTAATCAAAAAGACAAGCAAAAGTCCAACAAAACCACCTAACCAGTAGGAAAGACCTACCTACAGTTTATTCACATTTCTTAACACCTCCTCCATCTCGTCTGCTGCCCTCTCGTAGACTCTTGACCGAAGCGTTTTCTCATGCTCCGTCTTACCCAAATGGTCCCAATAGTGCGGCACATTCTCGACCACTTCACACTCAACATGCTTTCCCGCGGCTTCGAATTGAGCAGCCGCCGCTTTCCCTTCAGCCAACAAGGGGTCTAAGCCAGCAAGTTTGACATATATATGATTCGGCAACGCCCTGCTCATCATCTCCAACGGAGCTAGTCCTGGCGAAATGCAGATCTGGCTCTTATCTATCGTATCGGGCAAGTTCCAGAAATACGCGCGGTCAAAGATATCGCCTATCAATTTGGACGAGGAGGCGGGTTTCTTCTTCAATGCCATAAATGCCGGGTTCGATGCTGCGCGCTGAGCACGGGTTTTCGTGAGGTCCATAGGCGGGTAGAATGCTGTTATGGCTTTGACAGTGCCTAGCGAGGCGCGATCAATCTGCGGATGTTCATGCTGGGCGATGGCCTGCGCAAGCCAGTATTGAGACGCGAACGCCATCTGCCCACCGACGCTGAACCCCGTGATGAACGTGCGGTGTTTGTCGACTCCCATTGCTGTAGCGTTCTTCCAGATGTAGAGCATGGCGTCCACGCAGTCAAGTAAAGGTACCGGGTAGGCGTGCTCTGGCGCAAGGCGGTAGTTGACGGCTACCACGACGGCTCTACCGCGCTGCGTGACTGTCTCGATGAAGCGTTCGTCATGGCGCGCGTGCCCTACGCACCATCCGCCTCCGTGTAGTACGATCACTACAGGGTAGAGAGCTTCTCCTTTCTTCGTGGAGGACTGGTTGTATCCGGGAGGGTGGTAGATGTGTAGGTCGAAATTGCCCGGGGAGGCGGACAGGGTGGAGGGGATGGATATTTGGGAGGTCGGGGTAATTGTTGAAACTGGATGTCTTTTGCGATCTAGCCAGGCTAGAAGTCGAGTTAGCCATCGAAGGATGCGTAGTTTGGTGTGGAATGCGAGGGATTCGAATGCCATTGCGGTGGAGTTTTGTTCTTTGTTTTTTGGCTTTGGGGGTGGGGGTCAATAGAGTAGAATGTCTGTATCAGGTTCGGATGGCTAGATTTATCGTCCATACTACGTACCTACGGCCACATGGGAACAGTAAGCATCTTGTACCGAGATAGAGATCCGAGGAATGCAGGTGATTGCAATAGAACTAGTTGGTCCACCTACTTAGGGGTGAAGAGCAGTCGGGCGAACAATCTCTCCGCCCACAGACCCACTACCGGTATCCATGGGGCTTGTCAAGCCGGAACTAAATTCATCAGTAATGCAATGCCACTTCAGAACTGTAAGTCTTCTTGCAATGCTTTAACCAAGCCTACTTCACATGAAGCTATCACCGTGGCCGGACTGGTGAATATCAGTCAACCTGTAGTATCTCATACACCAAACACCGAGAGTCCAGAGAATATGGTATCCCTTGAAGCTGTCCGCGCTCACAACAGCAATTTAGAAGATCTCGGCACGGGACTCGTTGCTGTATTTGGTGCGTTCAACCCCTCTTGAGACGCTGTAGCTGATGTTCCAGTCGGTGGTACGAGTGGAATTGGACTCTACGCTGCGCGTGAATTCGTCCGCCATACTCTATCTCCGACGGTCTATCTAGTTGGCCGCAACGAGATTCGCGCAACAGAGATCATTGACGACTTGAAGTCGCTGAATCCGAGCTCCCAGATTAGATTTCTCAAAGCGGACGTATCGCTATTGAAGGAGGTGGACTCGACATATGCCGTAATTCGAAGCCAGGTCAACCATGTCAACGTGTTATTCCTCAGCTGCGGTATTTTTACGCTCAACCGTAGTAGAGAAGGTGCGTCTGAGAGTCGAGTCGTCCCTAGACCTTAAATAGTTACCTTCATAATCTAATCTAATTCGCCATACATACAGACACCGCGGAAGGCCTCGACAAAAAGCTCAGTCTCCATTACTACGCTCGCATGCGCTTCATCCACAACCTAATGCCGCAGTTGACCCGCGCCAGCTGTGTCCCTTGTTCTGAGGGTAGTCGTAACCTCTCCCGGGTTATATCCGTCCTAGGCGGTGGCCATGAAACTGAGCTATATCTTGACGATCTCGACCTGCAGAATCACTACGGGGTCGAGAATTGCGATGTCCACGCAACAACCATGACATCCTTAATGATCGAAGAGTTTGCGTCGCGGTATCCGTCAACGACATTTATCCACACGTATCCTGGGATTGTGAATTCGGGGATCTCTCGCGAATCGGGCCGATTCGTAGGCTGCATTGTCAAGGCCGTAATGTTTCTAGGTCGGCCGTGGATGGTGTCGGAGAAGGAGAGCGGCGAGCGGAGTCTTTTTGCGGCAACGAGTAGAGAGCTCTCTGCGTCTGCGAAGAGTACCACTGGAGATGGCAAAGGGGGTGCTATAATATTGAACTGGGACGGGTCTGAGGTGGGCAATCGAAGGCTCCTCGAGGAGTATCGGAAAAAGGGTGTTGGTGATATGGTGTGGAAGCATACGGAGGAGATTTTTCTGAAGGCTTCCAAGGCTCCTTCTTGAAACTATGGACATCGGTAAGCGAAAGGTGCTGGTACAGAGTATTTCATAGTCAATATTTGACAGGCACTGCCTGCTAGGTGGACTAGAAAATCGGTCAGAAACGCTTCGTATTCTCCATCTACGAGTCCTGCAGTGGGCTCAGATATGCAGTCGCCCAGTGTGGGTTATCTGATGCACTTGGCTACATGCAACCTAGTGCCGCAGCCATACAACCGAGCTCCAACAATATTTAAATTACTGTCATTACGGTCAGGTAGGATGATGTGCACCCAAGATATGTAGAAATGCACGTGGTAGGGCATTATAACTGTAATTGCAGCTACATGCATACAATTACCGCTTGATATACAGGATGTGGCAAATCTCAGACGATTTGGGCTTTTAGATCATCAGCCCCTGAAGGCAAATTGTTCTCGGTCCTCGATGATAATGCGAATTATGCGGATTATTCGATCGATGGTCCAGCCGGGCGGCGGGATAATCTTGCTCCCGTTAGGTATGTTCGGTTCGATATTCGTCCGAAGCAGCCAGACATAATCATCACTGGAAAGTATAACCCTACTGCCGAGGCAACTTTCTACCCTTCTGGGCTCCCGAAACGCTTGCGATTGGATAATATATAACAATGGGACTCAATACAAGCATCTTCAATCACCAGATCGGATGGTTACCCAAATATGCCAGACGCAAGTCCTATCCACGCTAGCTCTCTCCCCTCTTACAGCCAAGTCGCTTGCATTGGGGCCGGAGCAAGTGGCATTGCGCTGGGAGCCACGCTGAAAAGATGGTATGGCTTAGAGGACATCCAATACTTCGAGCGCCAGGCCGACTGTGGTGGAACGTGGCATATCAATACCTACCCCGGTACGAGAATGATTATTTCTCAACCCGCTTCCGCCGTGACGACACTGATGGTTCGTAGGTTGTGCATGCGATGTGCCTAGTGCCTTATACAGCTTCTCATTTGCGCCTAACGCTCGCTGGAGCAAGCTGATGCCCTCGCAGAAAGAGATCAAGTCATATCAGGATGGCGTTGTTGCCGATTATGGACTGAGACAGAAAATGAATTTCTGCACAGAGGTCAAACAGTGTATATGGCGTGAAGATGCATCGCGATGGCTTCTGTTGCTGCGCAACGTCGATACTGGGGCAGAATGGGCACACGAATGCCAGGTCCTTTTTTCCGCTACAGGTCACTTTGCGCAGCCGCGATCGTGCAATTTCCCTGGTTCTTCATCATTCGAAGGTGCCATGTTCCATTCGGCGCAATGGGACCACAGCGTCAGTCTAAAGGGCAAGAGGGTCGTGGTTATTGGAAATGGATGTGAGCTGCACTAAAACTGCTTTACTGGGGGTCTCCTCTTATTTTCCTTACGTCGATGTAGGCACCGCAGCGCAGATTGTACCTGCTCTTGTCAAGCAGACGAAGCATGTGACGCAGATTATTCGATCCCAACACTGGATCTTCCCTGCGACAAATTTCACCTACCCCAAGGCTTTGCAGTGGATCTTCCAGTACGTTCCTTTCGCAATGAAGCTCCATCGATTGCATATTTTCCTGCTGGCTGAGAATGGCTTTCGCCTGTTCCCAATGACAGCTCGTGCCGCAAGGCTGCGGCAGAAGCGCAGAAGGGAGGTCGAAAAATATATGAGAGATACCGCGCCAGCCAAGTACCACGATATCCTGATTCCGGACTTCGAGGTGGGATGCAAGGTGCGTTAGATTCGGTGAAGCTGCAAGACCTAGACACTGACACGGATTTTATTAGCGACGGATTTTCAATGACGGATATCTCGAATCCCTTCACAGTGCCAATCTTGATCTCACAACGGCCAAGATTCTTGAGATCGTTCCAGAAGGCGTGCGAACTTCCGACGGAGTCATTCCTGCCGACGTCATTGTCTTAGCAACGGGTTTCGAAACAAACCAATTCACGCCCTTCATGGACATCGTGGGCCGCGATGGAAGCCTGAATGACCACTGGAAGAGATATGATGGGCCCGAAGCTTATAACAGCTCTGCCATGAGTGGCTTCCCAAACTTCTTCATGCTCTTCGGGCCCAACGCAGGGACTGGCCATACTTCGGCATTGATGGCTGCAGAAAAGTAAGCGCACTGATTCGCGGACTTGATTCCCAACTAACCATTCTGAAGCTCCGTCAACTACGCACTCCGTGTCCTTAAGCCAGTCTTCGATAAACGAGCAGACGCCGTCGAGCTTTCTCCGACTGCGGAAGACGAGTATTCCAAGGCGGTGCAAGGTGCCTTACAAAAGCGAGTTTGGAATGCTGGTTGTCAATCAGTAAGTTGCTTTCTCTTCCATCATCGTGTGTTCACGGGATTTACAGTATATCTAACTCTGCGTTAAGTGGTATATAAATGAGAAGAATTGGAATGCGATGGCTTACCCTTGGACACAAGCCTATTTCTGGTACAGGAGTTTATTTCCAATCAAGTCCCATTGGATTAAGAAGGTACGTTGTACGTCTCAATATTTACAGGTGCTAAGGACCACAAATTAATGCTTTTCTAGACACGGCCAGGTGGCGCAAAGTCTGGGACCAGCAAATATTGGCTAAGCTTGCCGTTTATGCTTGGGTTGGGCGTCTCCTTGGCCTACAATGAGATGCTTTTGGCTGCTGTCCCCAGGAGCCTGGAGTTTGGCAACAAGATACTCTCATTTATTCATGGATGTGCATCTGATATGCTGTCCAGACATTAGAGTGGAGGACGGACTGTTGTCTGTGTTGAGACTTTTGTAATTTTCAGTATAGAATTTGAAAATTGATTATTATATTAGGATTGTTTCAGTCCCAGTTGTGTGGGTTTTCCACCACCGAGATACATTACGCCTGCTAGTCACGACCCACTTAGAACCTTAACTACCTTTTTCGCAGTCTCCTTCGCCGACCCAGGGTTCTGCCCCGTCACCAAGTTACCGTCGTTCACAGCATAGGAGGTAAATGGCAGTGTCGCCTTCATATAGCGGGCACCGCGCTTCTTCAGCTCTTCCTCCACATTGTAGGGCACCAGCTTATTCACGCGCGCCAGCAATTCCTCCCTCCACGAAAACCCCGTCAACTTGCGCCCAGCCACCAAGTACGACCCGTCAGAAAGCGTGGTGTTCAACAGGCCGCAGCATCCATGGCACACCGAGGCCACGACCCCGCCGCGCTCGAAAATCTCCCGCGTGATGCGCTGTAGGCCTTCGCTGTCTTTGAAATCGTACATCACCCCGTGGCCCCCCGTGAAGTAGATCGCGTCGAATTCGGCCGACTTGATTTGCTCGGGGCTGAATGTGTTCTGGAGCAACGCCATCCGTTCCACGTCCGCTTGCCACGCTTTCGCCGTCCTGTCGACATTAGGAAACTTCAGAGACCGAGGCTCAAGGGGGCAGTGGCCGCCCGCTGGGCTGACGATGGTTTGTGTATATCCGCTCGCCTCGAAGACATCCCATGCGTGTGTGAGCTCAGTCAACCATAGACCTGTCGGGTGGGATGGATCGTCGTAGTGCCCGACGTTGGTGACGACGTGTAAGATACGCTTGGGTCTTGACATTCCTTATTATGTAGGAAACTGTGTGTAGGAACTGTGTTTACGGAGGTGAGGTCGTTGGAGACTGAAACAGATCCTTTTATATTCAAGACTAGGGGTGTGAAGGTTCGAAGGGATATACAGTATATTCATGACACCATGACATCCTTTGGTTTGGATCGACGGAACACATAAACCTTGTTTTATGGGCCCAAGTCGGGGGAATAACTCCCCGACCGGCGGATCCTACTTCTTCACGTCTCCACTTCAGATAGTTGGCTCGTCTTTTGCTGGACGAGTTTGTTCCGAGGGGAGCTCTGGGACTTCACGGGATCCAGAAATGGTCGACTGAACCAAGCCACTTCAGTAACTAAGTAAAGCGTGGGCCATTGACTGTAGAGTGATTTTTTAATTCTATTTCATATCAGAATTTGTGTGGTTACTACCTACAGAACCCCAGACAGAACTCCATATCTATCATATGGGTCCCTTTATTCAAAACTTCAACAAGGCCTTCCCCTTGTTCTTCCCCTCGAAGATCCCAACCAGCCCCTCCGCAGCGTTCTCAACCCCAACAGTTTCATGGAAGAGACACTTGATCGAGCCGTCCTTGATCCATCTCTGCACATTCGCCTGATGCTCCATGAAATAAGCAGGACCGAACTCAGCATCCGCCACAATAAAGCCCTGCATGTACAAGCGCTTCGTGATCACGGCATGAATATTCTTAACCGGGTACGGCTCCCCACTGACGTCCGAAATCATCCCACACGCCACCACGCGTCCAAAATCATTCAAGGCATCAAGCGCCGCCTCAAGATGGCCGCCGCCCACATTGTCATAGTAGATATTGATGCCTTCTGGCGCCAGCCGTGCCAACGCCTCGCGGGGCTTCTCGCGTTTGTAGTTGAACCCTGCGTCAAAGCCCAGCTCGTTCAGGATATACGCGAGCTTTTCATCGGACCCAACACTCCCGATCACTCGGAGGCCTTCGCGCTTGGCCAGCTGTCCTACAAGTTGTCCCACGGCTCCACTTGCCGCAGAGACGAATATCGTCTCGCCGCGCTTAGGCTTCCCGATCTTGTACAGTGACGAGTAGGCCGTAAGTCCGGGCATTCCTAGCGGGCCTAGGAACACGCGCACGTCTTCTAACCCGAGGGGATTCTCCAGGGGCCGCACGCGGCTGATGGATGTCTCCTCGACGGCAACGTATTCCTGGATAGGTAGTTCTCCGATAACAAGCTGGCCCTCTTGGTAGGCTGGGTTGTTAGTCTTGAGAACCTTGCCGATGGCGAAGGTGTCAACGGGCGTGCCGAGCTTGTATGCTGGTACATATGATTTTCGTTCGGCGCCGCGCATGCGGCCTCGCATGTAGGGGTCGAAACTTGCGTAGAGGGACTGCACCAGGATGCCATTTGCCGGGGCGCTGTTGAGGTTGCACTGGGTGACTGGCTCGGTGGCAAGGTCTTCTCCTGGGACTGGGAGGGAACCAGTAGGGACCTTTTTGAAGATTAGGGCTCTGTTAAGAGACATTGTCGTCGGTTGTAGATGTAGGACTTTAGAAAAGAGAAGGGTAGATCTCGGTTCTTGAGAGAGAGGGTTCGCTCACGAGCTGATATCAAATAGCTGGGGAGATTTCGAGACAACGACCGAGTGCATTTTGCTGGTCAGTAGCTTGTATTTATATACTACAGATCTGTTTCTATTGTGCTGGCTTTAGGGGACCATAACAAAGCGAGATAAGTTAAGGAGATATCCACATTCTAACGCGGAGGCATTTATGCGTTGGAGAAATTAAAACACCTCGCCGTCGGGCAAGTTTCATGGGTGTTGGGTGTTGGGTACATACCTGGGGAGTTGACGAAAATCTACAAAGTGGAGATTGTTAACCACGGGGCGTTGGGGGGAGTACCTGGTAACGGATAGTTTGTTGCTCCGAACGTCGAATAACAGGTAGACGCCACCGAAAACTTTGCCTTTGCCGGCAATAGGAACTGATTATCTGATCAATAGAATTATACCCACATAATCTCAGTACCGACTGTGACGGAGGGACGAAGACACGAAAGCTCTTTTTTAACACCTCTCGTCACCATTGGCATCAACGTTTTAGGACAGCTGCGGGTTCTGACTGCCTTTTTCGAATACAGGGCCAATGGTTAAGATATGTAAATGAATTTGTCTGGTGTATGCTTTGGCCGTTCATAATAGCTAAAAGGGCAGAAAATAGTTGAGTACGCGGGCAGCAAGCAAACAGACCAGAATGATAGATTGGCAAGACGGGTAGCTGCGCCCACCAGATCTATCAGTATGCAGGGTCGACAGATGAAACATTGAATGCGTGTCACTTTAGTACAAGAGAAGGAAAAATCAAAAATGACGGAGCAACTGAACAACTCCTCGGCACTGACTTCGTGAATGGCGAGAAAAGCATAACCGAAACGCATTAAATTATGTCCACTTTCCAAGTATTCTCGCAACCAGAACCCTGCTATTTGTTTTGAACTGAATCTTGCCGCGACTCTTCCTCGGTGGCTACTACCTGAACATCCTCGCACCGCGTGGTAGATGGACAGAATCATCTTAGGGTAGCTCAGTTCATCTCAGGTAACTACCAAAAATCAAACTAGCTTTGAAATGACTTCTTAGACGTGGAAAAACGGATCACCAGCTTTCCAGGCCCTCCCCGCCCAGAGTAAACTACATCACATGAACAGGGTGAGGCCTGTAGAGTGTTATCATCTGCAAGCCCGAGGCAGGGGCATATAGGGCATCATGCGCCAGTAGCTTTCGGGCCAAGATTACAGTGATCTGGGCCACCGCACAGTTATATGAGCCGCTCGGGGAGGTCTCCTGAGTGTTACTGTCGCTAGTTGGGTGGTCTTGTAGACTTGTTTTGGTGAGTGTGGATACTGTATGCTTCACAGTATGGAAACCCGTATGTGGGGCAAAAAAGGAACATGAGCAAAAAGATGACCAGACTGGGGCTCGATCCCAGGACCTTATCGGTGTTAACGATACGTGATAACCAACTACACCATCCGGCCAACTTGTTGAGAAAGTGCTTTAATTTTTGCTATAGAAGCCTATGTAATCTTTTGAGCAAAATTTGCTCATCGAGAAGTAATCGATTCAAGGATGATTACTTAGTCAGGATGTTTGGCGGAGCTTCCGGCTGTTTGGAAGTGGTATTTTCAACCTTGGGTGAATAACATGCACCTTTTAGTTTTCTATACAGCAGTATCTCATTGCCAGTGTGGCCTATGTCAAAAGACGTTAGAGGTATGGATTTCGTTGTGTGGCGTACCGGTCAACTGCTAAAATAATATGAAATAGTCTCACGGATCCGAGGACACGCGCGATGAGGGTAACAAAAAGG